TGTAGTGTATCTAACCTTAAATTTTGGTGTATGCTAGTTCACTTTAGTGTAAGCAAAGTATTTTTTTCTTAGTTCTCAAAATGTCTACTTTTGTGCCAAATAAAGTGTATTTGCGGGTAATTTTATTGCACTACTTTATTCAAAAGAAATCTGCAGCTGAAGCACATGGAATTCTTGTTAAGACTTATAGTGACAACGCTTTGTCGGATACGACATGCAGAGACTGGTTTCGACGCTTTAAATAATGATTTTGAACTTGAGGATAAAGAACGTTGTGGCGCACCGAAAAAATTTGAAGACGAAATGTTGGAGGAATTACTCGATCAAGACCTATGTCAGACGCTAGCAGAACTTGGAAAAACATTACAGGTAGATGATTCAACTGTTTGAAAACGTTTAAGAAGCAAGGACATTGGGTACCGTATGAATTGAAGCCGAGAGACGTCGAACGTCGTTTTCTCACGTGTGAATTACTGCTTCAACGGCAAAAAGAAAAGGTTTTTTGCACCGCACCGCATCGTAACTGGCGATGAAAAGTGGATACACTACGATAATCTAAAGCGAAAAAAATCGTGGGGTAAGCCCGGCCATGCATCAAAATCGTTTACAAAACCAAATATCCAATTGTTCAAAGCTTCTTCTCTGTATTTGGTGGGATCAACAGGGTGTAATTTGTTATGAGCTGCTCCAACCGAATGAGACTATCATGGGGGATCGCTGTCGACTTCAATTAATGCGTTTAAGTCGAATCTTAAAAGAAAAACGGCCGCTATACGAGCAGAGACACGACAAAGTGATTCCTACATGACAACGCTCGGCCTCATGTAGCAAAACCAGTGAGAACCTACCTGGAAACGCTTCAATAGGAAGTTCTACCCCACCCGCCGTACTCACCTGACATAGCCCCTTCTGATTTTCACCTATTCCGTTCGATGGCACATGGCCTAGCTGACCAGCGCGCTTTCATTCTTATGAAGAAGCTAAAAAATGGATCGATTCTTGGATAGCCTCAAAAGACATGTCGTTTTATATGTACTGCTAGAAAGATGGAAGAAGGTGGTCGCTAGTGATGGGCAATACTTTGAATGAAATGTTTTTGTTCCTTATAATTTTAAAAAGCTTTTATTTTGTAAAAGAAACAGCGAGAACTTATTCAAGGACCTAATATAATTGAATATATATGTATGTGTATGATTGCATATGTGTGTATTTATGATGTGTTGTGTTGTATATGTGTATGTATAAGTTTGTGTATGTAGCGAAGCGTTACATACATATATAGCATTGATTAATTAATTAATTAAGACGTAACCTCTGTGCACCTACCTTACAAGATTTCTACACCACCCAAAGGTTGACTGGATGAGAAAGCCCTGGGCATTAAGTCCGCCGATGTACAAAAGTGCATAAAGTTAAATAAATAAAATAAGATATACTGATTTGTATTGTGTTCTGTGACCATTTTGATTCTTAAACTGAATAAGTACCTAATAAGTGTGACGTGCATTAGGGAAAGTAGAACCTAACGGGCTGTTTATACTTTTTAAGTAAAAGGGAATGATTTCCCTTCAGTCTAAAAATGCTTAGATGTACGTAAAACACGTAGAATTGGCAATACTGCTTTATATTTAGGGGCATACCTGGAGAAGAGGTGTAGTTACGGGAAAATTAAAATAAATATTAAAAATTATTTTCTTATAAACTTATTTTTATATGCTTAGCTAGATATGTTGAAGTTGAATAATCAACGGTATCTATTTAGAAATCTTTTGTATCCGGTTACAAAATATGTTAGTAACACGTTGTCGTGACAAACTAATTTGAAGAGCCATGCCACTTAAAGCCAACAAAAGGTTTCATAATAATGCATCCATGCAAACAACGGGCTGTGTGATGATATACTAATATTATTGAAATAGATGTGTCGAAAAACTTGCCCTCTAATGTAATATAGCAATAATACAGGAGTATTTAAATTTAGCTTCACACAAGACGGCGCATATTAACATAGTAGGCCAAAACCTCAATTGTAAGGAGAGGCCTATGTCTAGCAGTGGACTATAAAGGCTGTTGATGTGATGTGAAGACGGCGCCAGCCAAATTTATATTCAAGTAAAATGTTTTCGGATGCACTAAGACTGAACTTATTGTACCAAAAGAAATATATTGTCTTTTACGTGTGTACTGACTATTCTTGTTATTTTTCGGTGTGAAAATCTCCGGCAACCACTCGCTAATCGTGTCGTGTGTCGTCGTAATCACCAATCCCAAAGTAAACATGTTCGGTATCGTGGGAAACCTTGTAACCCGTGTATTTCACGAAATCTAAAAGATCCTTAAAAGTTCGCTTGCATATTGTCTCGCTTTTTATTACAAATGGCACCAAGTACTCGTATGGGAATCAAATTATTATAATAAAAACCTTTGAAAGTTTTTACGGCGAGCCTTGTCTTCTTAAGAAAACATCATACCTACTTCGTAGAAAAAATCTAACTGGGATGTTTTCAAATTTCTTGTTAAATGTCATATTTTGTCTAAATGAATATGTCAAAATCGTTTACAGTAGCCAAAAATGAATAAATTGTCATAAAATTCATATTTGTCGCACATATTTCTTTAGTAATACTTGTAATATGTGTTAATGTGCATTAAAAAGGAAATACGGAAAGGTAAGGTCAAGGATTTAGATTATGAACAGTAAGTGATCTAAAGGTTAAATATTCAGTGATCGTCGCTAGCACTGGCAGGCATGTTTCTGTTTACATAATTCATTGATCCATTCAGTCCCCGCTTAAACTGTATGCAACAAACGCGATGTTTATCTGAATTTGAAATACCTACATAACGACTTTGCTTTGCCTTGACGTCAATCTACCAATAAAACAGATTATATGTGGTCTCTTTCATGTACTATTTCATTATTACGTGAATTAATTCAATGATTAATAAACTGGGCGTCAGAAAGCTATTTTTCAGCTTTTTATTATTCAGAACTTCGGTTTCTGTTACCATAATTAAGATTATAAGAAGGAAACCACTTTCAGAACCTGAACTTATGTTCAGGTTCTGAAAGTGGTCGAAGTCTTTAATATATGTATCTCAAAATATATTATATACATTTCAAGGTATTTTATAACATAATAACTTTACTTTCACCAATATCTGTCAGTAAAATATTTTACAACAATTAAGATCTAAGCACCTCGCGCATAAAATTATTTCCTACCTTTAGTTTTGCTACCTGCGTTTGTTTAGTTTTAAACTATAATTTATTTTGCCTATGGAAAAACCTATTCTTAGTCTCGGAGTATCTTTGTGCAAGTCCTACGTTATTTACGTTTCCTATTATCAATGTGGGATATACTCGCGTGATGTTGCTACTGCTCTTGAAATATGGCAACGGTCTTGATTATAAGGACGTCATAATATTTGTTTTACACTTTAGCAGTATTCCAACGTTTTCTTCATGTTATTTTCTGTTCTCTTATGTTTTCCATTTAGTCTCCACTAAAGTACTCGTTAAATTAAATGGTTTTCATTTTTCTTACCGTTGACAACAGTCCACCTGCATTTCAGTTTAAGAATTCTGACCTTATTGTCAGATGATTGCCTTTATTACATTAGTATTTTTTTTCTTTGTCAGATGACCTCGTTACACATTTTGTTTAACAAGTTTATTCGTATCCGTATCAGCTCTAACGTTTATTTTAGATTATTTTCTAGCAATCTGTGTACCATTTTAAATAATCAACGTCGTTTCTTGATAGAATAATACTATTTACATCATAGACTGAATATTGGTCTTAATCTTTAAGGTCTTTAAAATTGATAGCTACCACAAAGTCTTGACGTCGGTTCCCATTCTAAACATTTCACTTGAGCATGTAATGCTATATTCGTAATTATGTGTGGTAGTGTTTGGTTGCCATAGCCTGTACCGTGCCGGCTGATCCTGGATATCGGCAGGTGATTATCAAGATTGTGTTGTGGCTTGGCCTATAGTATGTCAGTAGATAGGTATAAATGAAAAAGGCTATAACCCTGATACCTTTTTGAAGCCCTGTAACTATTACAAAAGAGTTTATGGTCTTAGAACTTTGTTTTTTTAAATCATAATTAAATTAAAAAAACAGCTTTTAATTTAGACACCCCTGTAAAGCTGTGTAATAATTAATTAGTCCTCACGGCTCCTTAGTATGAAGTAGGTATATAATGTATTTAGTACAATTACAATTATTTACAATTTTAGTATTCTTTAAGTACCGTAATATTATGTAAAAGCTGAGTTACTTTATGTTGTGTTATTAGTAAGTAATGCTTTATGTTTATGCCTAAGTTTCTACTACATATTCAATAAAATAATCTAACAATAGAATAAAGTATCTCTTGTGTTAACAAAACTGATTCTTTATTTTATTATATTTTCTTTTAAATATTCAGCCAAACGTATCTATAAAGATATGCCACAGCATACTTCTCTTACCATAAAACGCATCACTTTCTGTGCATATGTAGCGCATATGGAATTTGGACAGATTGTACGATAGAAGCCACACGAAAGAAATTGTGTCAACAGCAGTTTATCAAATTTTTTGATTTAATGCTTATCTTGAGTTCGAGGCGCTAGTTGTTATCTTGTTTGGTAGTGTAGAAAGATAACATCAAACGTTTCGTAGTTACAATTTTTATCTCTTTATTCTCATATGAATAACATTTTGTAATATTACTTAGGTATGTATAATAATGCTGTAATTAAATTTGTCTTAGTTTGGATTAATTTTCTATTTTCATGTATGTATATCGTAAACAAATTGTCATTAATGCAGGTAATTCGATTTAATTAAAATTATATAAATGAATGAAATACCTATAAAATATTAACTTAATGCATTTGGAGGATCTAGTATTTTCTTTGGTATGTTATTCTAGTAACTTTTGAATCTGAGAACACAGTACATACTTGTTTAATATTTTATTGTTGAAATATCGTATGCGCGCGCTCAAGCTGTGTTGCGTAGAGTATGGACAACATCGATGGCGTCTATTGTTGGCGGCATCCCGTTGCCATCTATTATTGACTCGACGCTGGAGATAGTTGGCAGCGCGCCAGTGCAGACCACGTGTTTGTCCGTCACGGGACGAGACATGCGGCTGAGTCCAACCACCGCGCCCCTGCGCACACTTCTCACACCCGTGCGCGTCACACACACTGTTAGCCTCAAAACCTTCTTTGACACGGCTGTGACTATTTGAAGCACCATTCTGATTACATGAAAGAAATGAACTAATATTACAGCATTGGCTTAGTATGTGTCGTAAATAGGTTATTTCTTACTTAAGTTTATTTTTTTGACATACAAGCAACATGGCTTAACAGTTTAAGAGAATTTTCGTTGAGATAATTATCATAATGTGGTTATAATAACGAAGGTAACGATTTCCTTGTTATAGCTGAAAAACAAGATAAACAATCGGCAAAAATGAAGAATAATAACAGGGAACTATGTGTTAAGCCGGTGGCATGTAGTAATGGGCTCTCGAGTACACCAAACGGGCGAGCAGATGATGAGGGCGGTGGCGGTATTGCGGCCGCACCACGCGTATCGTACGCTGCGGCAGCGCGCAAACCATCCTCGCCACAGATCAACAGCAATCCCTCACCCTTCCCCCCTAATACAGGTTAATACTCACTTTTAGATTAGTTTCATTACTTCATATCTGATGGTAGTCTACTAGCCGTGCGGTGTTGTACTTTACTTGCGTTCTACTTACTGATTGTGTTTTCTTCTGTTGAATTTGCTATATGGTTACAGAATGCCTGAAACCCAAAACTAACGGTGAAAAGGTGTCTCAAGCGAAATCCGGATTATGCACAATAAAAATCAATGGCGAAGGATCAATATTGAAAGATAAAATAGCTACCAAAGAACCAATAGTAAACGGCTCGGAAAATCTTTCTGAAACCATCGTTAACGGGGACCCGAAAAAAGAATTAGATTGTGATATTAGTAGTAGTGATAATGCTAACATAGTTTCTAATGGAATAAACAGTGACTCTGATGATCCTAAATCAAATAAGTCAGATGATACACCTGAAGTTCCACTAACTTATCCTAATAAGACTGCTGAGGGTAAGCAAACGATAGAAAAAAAGAAGGATAAGAAAACAAAAATGACTAACAAAAGAAACGATTCAGAAAAGAAAAATGAATCTGCTAAAGACAAGAACACAGAAGAAAAGAAACTTGAAGAAAATGTAAATAATATTGACAATACAGACAAAGTCAAAGGTGACAATAACACAGTCGTAAATGGTGATGGGGATAGGGAATCTTCTCTTAGCGAAGATGGCGATGAAAAAAAGAGGGATGCTGAAGTTGTGTTTATCCAGGATATGGGTTTCACCGTTAAGATTGTGAGCCCAGGAGCTGAGCCTTTAGACATTCAGGTAAAGTCTATATTCCTTATCACTACGTACTTAAACGAGTTTCAATGAAAGTAACCTTCGAAACGATGGTCATGATCATACATTTTACTTATTGACTTTGTAGGTCATCTATTCATATATTTTTAGAAGATAATTTCAAATGCTTTTAACAGGTGTCTAGTATGGAGTTAGTACAAGAAATTCACCAAGTGCTAATGGACCGCGAAGACACGTGTCATAGGACATGTTTCTCGCTACAGCTGGATGGGATCACATTAGACAATTTTGCGGAACTTAAAAACATCGAAGGACTCAAAGAGGGATCAATTATAAAGGTATGCCCTATATTTGACGTGAGTGAATCATATGATGTCATTTTTATTATTTATTTTACTTTTGTAGGTTGTGGAAGAACCATACACAATGCGCGAGGCTCGTATCCATGTTCGTCATGTGCGCGATCTTCTTAAGTCCATTGATTACACAGATGCCTACGCTGGTCAAGAATGTAGTTCTCTAGCCTTTCTCAATGTGATCACACAAGGAGATATTTTAGGTAATTTTGTACATGTTACGAATAGTCTTTTATAAAATAACTAGCGATCCGCCCCGGCTTCACACGGGTGCAATGTAGATACTACTAATGTGGTGTTACTGTGGAGTAATTAATTATACTATTATTATGATAAGACTTTAGTACAGGGCATCTTTATATGCAATATTTATAGGCCCTCTCCGCTACTGCCGGTTGCTGCCATCCGGGACGGACTTACAGCCCGACGCGGCGACGGCCGCTTTGCCTCCCCATTTTAAATCTCTGATATTGCCTAAGATTGAATGATTACATGCAACTAATTATATACAATACATTAAATGCATAACGTATATAACGTATTTTTTCAAAATAGCTTTGTAAATTACCCATTACTTTTTGCACTAAGGAAAAGATAAAAATGGGTACTGTGTTTTATCCGTAGGAGATAGATATAAACCATCGCGGACTTTTTTGTAGATCTTTTTAAGATATACAATTCCGTAATACATTATTTTGAGCTATCTCGTAAGGGGATATCCAGCGTTTTCAATGTATGTACGTACGTACGTATGTCAAGCATACAAAAACATGTTTTTTGCGACTTTACATTACAAATCTTTGAAATTCTCGTATTTCCTCTATACAATATGCATGTATTATACATATAAAGCCACCTCTTGAATTACTCTCTCTATTGGTGAATACGGCATTAAAATCCGTTGCGTAGATTTAAAGATCTGAGCGACTATTTTATACTATGGATAATTTGAGTGACATTTACAAGAAACGAAGACAAGTATCAATACTGCATCATTTTACAAATGAACCGAACATTAGTCTCATACAATGCATTGCTTTTTTGGAGAAAAGTAAAGTTACACCACTGACCGCTCAACATTGTTCTACAGAGAAGAAGAAATCCCGTCCTGAAAGCGTTGATTGTACTCCACCTGATCACATTATGCCTGGAAGCGTGGAAAGGCCATTGTTGCCGCTTCATCCTGGTCTCGCTAAAGAAAACAAGGCTCCCCAATGTCTTAAGGTACATGTAGAACAATTACACGATGGCCAAATTCTTTTGAGAATCGTTAAGTTTTTTAGTTCAAATTAACCCTTGTTAGAACTTCCAGGTATTTTAATCGTAGTAATTGGGGGCCTAAAAGTAGCCGGAACTATTGTGTTATTTTATTTCTAACAATTGCTGCTTTAGTACATTACCAGAACTTATGTACATTGACATTCTTGGTTGCATAAATCAGATTGAGAACTCAATTTTACTACTCATTGATTAAGACACTGAAAAAACTACAATGCCCAGAGCCCTTGTTGTGAGTGAGTAAGAGTAACATTTGTAATAGTCATATTACACGTTTTGTAAGAATCGTACGAGTGATTTACGAGTATACATACATAGTATGATTGTTATAAGCCCTAATCTGATGACTTTCGTTGTCAGGTACTAACCACGTCGGGCTGGAACCCGCCACCGGGGCCCCGCAAGATGTGTGGTGATCTTCTCTACCTGCATGTCGTTACACTCGAGGACCGTCATTTTCACATCACGGCTTGCCCCAGAGGATTCTACCTTAACCAGTAATATACCTTTTTTATCATCATGTTTTTAATTAATTTGATCGAGGGACGCTTAACAATTTTTCAAAATTTCAAATATAATTTTTCATGTTGATTTCGCTTTTACTCTTTTGTGATATTCCAAAGACAATGCATTTTTTTGTGAATGAAAAACTCCATAATATTGATAAGTGCTTTCTTTCTAAATCATGTCTGACATGAAAGTCAGGTCAATTCATTGAATTTAAATGGGACCAACTGATTAAGAAGAACCAATTTAATTAAAAAATATAAAATCAGGTTTACAAATGGCGACGTGGTCGCATTCAAAAGTATATTTAGTCGAATTGAGTATCTCTTCCTTTTTTGTAAGTTTGGATAAAAACTCCTTGGATAGCCAGCTTACAGAAAGCGGTGAATTATTTGCGCGTGTACTAATGAATTAATATTCATATGGTCTAGTTATGATAATATTTTTTGAATAAAGTTAGGGTTGTCTATAAAAAAATCTCTTTACTTGTTATCTTGTGCGAGTCTCCTTACTCGCCTAAGATTTCGCAAAAAAGAAATATATCTGTTGTAGTAGTAGTATTACACATATTTAGGTATGTGGCTTAACCAGTTTCCTTATATTTATATTTTAGCATCAATAATAACTACAAAATAACAAAAATATTATAAAACAATAATGAATTTATCAAAGCAACGAAAATTAAAATTAATACAATGAACTTTAAAATCTTGATGGAAACTACCTCGCTTACTACATGTTTTATGCAAATGCATTGCACGTTCTAGATTCGGAACCGATTTGTCGGTAGTAGTTCGCCAAATTGTCGTCAGGATATTTTTCGACTCGTGATTTTTAGTTACACTTCCATCATATGGTGTGGTTTGACATCATACAAACTGCACATGGAAAGGATATTTATTAAGAAGTATTTAATAAAAGATGTTTCTGAAGTTTTTAATTATCTATTTAATTAAAATATTAAAGCAAATAGTGAATTGATTCTGTTAGCTTTTTGAACAAGTTTATCATCAGAAAGAATGTTTGACCAATCATTATAATGTATTGTACCAGGTCTACAGAAGAAGTATTTAATCCTCGGCCAGCCACCCCGTCCTTATTGTGCCACTCGTTGATCGAGTTGTTAAGCATAGTGTCTCCAGCGTTTAAACGGACCTTCGCCATGGTTCAGAAGAAACGCATGCAGAAACACCCATTCGAGAGGGTAGCGACCCCCTATCAAGTGTACCAATGGGCTTCGCCAGTGCTTGATCATACAGTTGATGCTATTAGAGCTGAAGATAGTAAGTGATTATATTATTTAAATGTATAGTGATGTTTCTTTTTTCGTTTTATGTTTCTATATACTAAAATCAAATAAATCAAATAGTGCCTGTTTACTAGGAAGGCGTACTTTAAATCTCTTTATTGGACTAAGGAACTGGATTGACTAAATATGAATGTTCGTCGATTAGTTAAATAAGACTGATTAAAAAGGAATGATTTTATTTAACACTCAATTTAAAAAAAGAATTCGTGGCTTTCTGTTGCTTCTTTTATTTCCTTCAAACGATTGCTTTAACATCAATCGATTATAATTATTAAACTATAATATGTAGTATTATACTAATAAAAAACATTAGATATTTCAGAGGTCATTAAAATTAATTGACATTGAGACCAGTACAAGTCGCTTAGTTATCGAATATTTTTTTATTATAAACAAATTACTTCTTCTGTTAAGCTGATTTTAGTAAAAATTTCTAAATAAGCTTGAGTTGTACACTCATAGCTAACATTTGGTGATAACAACTACCGCCAACTGCCGTACCGGTTTTTTCAATTGACTGAACGCAATTGAAAAATAAAAATTGACGGCGTCTCGATGTCACAACTGGATCCAAGTGGTGTAACTGGATCGTATTATTTATTGCTTACACTACGTACCGAGTCGCTTTTCTTTATATACAGCTTAAGAAAAATGAAATAGAAGCATCGGTGAACTTTCGGAACAAACATTTTAGTTCAGTCAAGCGGTCAGTATGGATTAAAAAACATTTATCTATGTCAGTTAATTTTAGCAAAAGTTTAAATAAATGTTTTTGAAGGCAAGGAAACTTAGTAATATGAATTCCGAATAAAATTTCGTGTATAACCGGATGTAGTTAATCTACTTAATAAAAATGACACTATAATCAGGAATTGTGCTAACATGAAGTTCGTTCCATTAACGAGTGTAATTTCCATGTATTGTGCAACCGTGGCTTAATTAACGGAGTGTCTGTATTAGAACCATATTAACTTAATGACTCTCGTGTCTAATATGTTACACAGTACATATACAGTTTATGATGCAATAAATTTAAGGGCATTGTCTAGTTATCGTTAATGGTCTTACTGAAGCTTTTGGCAATCCAAGGTCTTTAAGCAGTTATAGAGGGATTTAGCTGGAATACCCCTCGCACCAACTTCCACGGCATACAACGAAACGACATAACCATTTTTTGTTATTTCGTTAGTTAAGTCAAAGTACTTGTTTCTTTTTAAAGCGTGGTCTTTTGGGATGTTCGTTTCCCATGGCACCGTGAGTTCTACTAATACTACACGCTTAATTGAAATTGCATAAACAAATATGTCTGGTCTGGATGCCGAGGCACAGATATCCTGCGGTATTCTGTAATGATTTTAATACGTGTCCACTAATAATGTCCAGTTACTGGCGGTATTTATAATTGAGTACGGCTTTTGTGAAATGTTTTTTGTTCAGCCTTCCTTTACAAATGGGATGTTAGTTCTTATGTTTGTTGATATTCCTTTTTTCGCTCTCGCCAGCGATAAGCTTATAGCTTCGCGTATGATTTGTAATACCCTATCATGGCGACGTGAGTAATGACCCCGGTCTAATAGCGCCTTACAACCTGTCAGTAAGTGCCTGGCTGTACCTATTTCCGCACTGCACATCGTACAAGCCTTTTCTGTAGCTTTTCCCCACCTTACTAGGTTTTGATCAGGGAGAGTCAATTGAAAGGCATTAAAGTAAAATTTTAACAGTGCAGGTGACCTTTACAAATGCGATGTTAGTTCTTATGTTTGTTGATAGTTCTTTTTTCGCTCTCGCCAGCGATAAACTTATAGCTTCGCGTATGATTTGTAATACCCTATCATGGCGACGTGAATAATGACCCCGGTCTAATAGCGCCTTACAACCTGTCAGTAAGAGCCTGGCTGTACCTATTTCCGCACTGCACATCGTACAAGCCTTTTCTGTAGCTTTTCCCCACCTTACTAGGTTTTGATCAGGGAGAGTCAAGTGAAAGGCGTTGAAGTAACATTTTAACAGTGCTGGTGATCAATCGTATAAAAGCGGGTGGTGGGATACAAAATTCTCCTAGAGTTAACCATTCATTCTGCATTTCTAGGTTCAGTTGTAGGTCTTGTTTTCATGTTGTTTAAGGAATGATTTTGCTATCTCTTTGTCGGTCTGTCTTCTAGCATTTCCTAATCCAACTCTACTGGACTGCATACCTACCATGAATTTCAAATGGAATTGGAGCCGTGACCTCGAGCTCTCATGAATTTTTGTCTTTTGGAAGAGATCTAATGATTTTGACAAGACATGCATTTTGGTAACTCTTAGGTGTTTGTTGTGTTTCGAAGGTATTTTTAGTTTCATTCCAAAGTTATTCGAGCCTCTGTACAACGTTGACGGGTCTGCCGATGTTGCTAGCCCGAGCCACGATTTCACGGTCTTAGTGACTTTCGCGTCCAGTGTTCTTAAGTGGTTCTGGTATATATCGTATACCAGAAACCAGTTGAGACGTGATGTTGAGTAGTTGTCGTAAATCCAAGCTTTTTTACGTTACTTATTGGCTGGTGGTCTACCTTGTCAATGTATTTTACGAAGTTATCGGCTATTGCGTTCCTAGATAGATTACGATCTTTGTAGGCTATCTTTCTTCCAAGGAATTTAAATAGCACGGTTTCTGATATTATTAAAACACTTTCCAAACCAATAGTAATCCCGGGGTCATATGAGACATATCTGATACCTCGCGGGCCCAGATAAAGGCAACAGCATTTGCTAGGTTTTGTCCTCATCCAGGTACAGAAGTCATCCACCTTACGCAGTAGTTCTTGGCACTGCTTCGGGTTACGTATGGGGATCGCGAGGTCGTCTGCAAATGCTAAGATTGATTTCGTATGTTTTCCATTGACCTTAAACCGGTAGGTTTTTTTTCGTGTGTTGCCATATTATCTATTGATATATTTGTAACCATATTAATATAATTAATACTACTGGTGATAAGCAACAACCTTGGAACAACCCTACTCTGTATTCGAGGGGTTTTGTATGTCCTTCCTTTGCTGTGATTACAAAATTTAATTCACTATAGTATGATGCAATTATTGGCGTAGTAAAGTTATACCATTTCAAGGCAAATAACATGAGCTCGTGTCGTACTGAGCCACAGGCGTTTTCTAAATCAATCCAACATACTGTTATTTGCTTTTCATTTTTGCTAGCATTTTTGCTAGCATTTTTGAGACTTTCCGCAAGTAATGAGTTATGTTCCAGATATCCAGAGATTCCGGGCATGAACCCTTTCTGGTAATTGGGTCTGAAGTAATTATTGTTGGACATAAACTGTATTATTTTTAATTGGACATTGGACAGGAGAAATATATTTTAGAAATTGTATTGGTAAGGGCTATCGGTCTAGTGTCCCTGGGATCTACTACTTACTTACTTTTCATAGGAATGAGGACAAAATTATCTTTTCCAAACCTTCCTTCCAAGACTTACAGGTGTTTACGCACTGATGGACATTTTTTGAATATTTTATATGGTATACTATTAGGGCCTGGAGCTGATTTGAATTTTTCTTTCTAATTTGGGTATCTACTTCTAAAGTTGGCGGGTCACAATCAAATTTGAAACGAGGGCTTGCTGGGTTTTGTGCACTTGGTTCATCATAGGTCTTCTCATGTGTTGGCACCTCGTAGTTTTATAGTGTTCGTAGATCTTTCGTAGTTCGTTCGTAGTTCTCTTCAAAAATGTTTCTAGAATATTGGTAAGGGTTTCGATGAAACTCTCCACTTCGTGCTTTTTCCTGTTTAAGTTGTCAGTTTCGTAAGCAATTTGTACTGATACTTTAATATTGATCTTAAAGCCCTGGCCAGTTGGTAGCCCATGGCTTTGGCATTCCGTAGTCGTTTGACAAGGTTCCTCTTTCTCTTTCTCAATTTTAAACGTGTTTTTATTTCCTTTATGAGCATAGTATGTTGCGGATGGGTAGTGCTCTGGGAAATATGTGTATATTACTTTTTGGAAAGTTTCGACTTGGCTATTTAGGTCTTGTTTTGCTCCAGGATGTTCTAGGAGAACTTCCAAGTTCTGGTTGTGTGGTTTCCAAGTGGTTTTTTTTAGGGAGGGAATGCTAAGACAGGTCCAGATGTGGATGGGCTCCTGGTTCGGGTCACTCTCTGGCCTGCCTTGAGATATGTGAGGGTCAACTCTATCCGTAGCAGCAATTGACGAAATATGTATATATACAATTTTATACAATTTTAATAAATTTTAACACCTATAATTTATGTTGTCACCCTTAGAAGTTTTTTGATATTTAGAAAATTAAACTACATGCCTGTTAGTCCAATGATTAGTGTTCCTGAGTGCTGAACTAGAATTTATGGGTTCGGAGGGGGTTGGGCATATGAAAAAATTCATGTGACATTACAATTTTTGCATCGTAGTGTAAATATATCTACTATGTATTAAGTGATATTATTATGTATCTTTCTAAGTAGTCTGGTTACAATGCCACAGGCTCTGTCTAGTTTCGTATGAGACAGCCGTGCGTGGAGTATCTTAACTGAATATATTACGCCAAATTGGAACAGGTAATTAACTTTAATTCTGTCGTACAACGTATTCGGACTCCACAAAGCTTTAATACAGAACTACTTTTTAGTAACAACATTCTAATTCATTCCTTTTTAAAGCAAACGGTTTTGTCGTTTTATATTCAATTTAAAAAAAAATATGGTGAAGAAATATATTGAAATGTATGTTATGAATGGATTATCATTCTACGTTCGGATCCCACAGACCTAATTTATTTGATTACATCGATGGCGCAATGGTTTTAAAGTGGTAGTCTCGCCACTAAGACGCATCCAGTGTTTGGAGAGATAGTGTAATTTTAACACAGTTATAAAATATATTTTTCTTCCTTACTACAAACACCTTAGTATTACCAGATTCTTGTGAGAATCTAATATTTAGAAAATTTTTGTATAATAAGGCCAGGTACTTCTAAAAATTCAGAAAAATTGTACACAGTAACGACCTTAATCGTAATTTGTCAGAGGTTGTTTTAATTATTTAAAATAGGTAATTATATTATTATTTATCGTAGCTTTCTCCTCGAAATTGGGTTATGAGGAGCATATTCCTGGTCAAACTCGCGACTGGAATGAAGAGCTGCAAACCACTCGCGAGCTCCCTCGTGCAACATTACCGGAACGACTGCTTCGTGAGCGAGCTATCTTCAAGGTAAAAACTAGATACTGTTCGTTTTCATGTATATATATTAGCCTTTTTCCAGTCCCAATATTACTTTTGACACACAAAACATATGCGAATGACTAGATTACCTTATAATATGGATTTTATTTTGAAGTTATATTTAATTCCAAATAAGTGCTAGATGATTGTTTAATTGAATTAAATGTAAATAAATAACAAGTAAGTTTAAAAAAATGATATTTTATGTTACAACAAGGGCCACCTTTACACTCGGTAAATCAATCAGTCTGCCTCTTTCACGATATCTTATTTCTTTTTTTAAATTTGCTGAAATTCCTTCTGTAAGTAAGTATTTTGGTTACTCAAGGTTACTCGTAATAAAGCATTTCTTAATTGGCTAATTATGTCGGCATAGCTTGTAATGCACCGGTGGTCGAATATTAAGTGACCTTCATTGATAGATCTATTGTAAAACATCGATGAAGGCAATTACAATTACATACAATGCTGGTATATTACGTATGTCTGGACACCGTGGTATAGTAGGCCAAAAACTTCTTTCTAAGGAGAGGCCTATGTCCAGCAGTGGCCTAGTAACGGCTGTTGATGTGATGATGATGCTGGTATATTATCTGTAAATTTTTACGCACAGTGTTGTAAGACCAGTATTAGAATCTTCCAAATGTAAACAGATTTAGATACATATATCTTTAGTTTTCAACATACTCATCATCATCCTGAGGGACACAGCCTATACATTTTATTAAAAGAAAAATTGACAGCTGTATGGCGCAGTATTCGTTTTTTTTTTGACAGGGTCGTTGTTTTTAATGTTTTTATTTACATTTATGGTACTTTTGCTACATTCTCGAGAGCCGTATCTTGATGTGGTATAGTTTACAATTTTTCAGTTAAAGAAAATTAAATAATTCATGATAATTAAACTTAACTTGACTTTCAAAATATAAATTATTCAGCTTTATAATGTTTGTATAGATAACGATCCTCATATTTTTAAAGAATGAACAAACGAACATAATTTTAGACATCTCGCCTCACAAAAAAGGAAGGTCAAATGTAAAATGTTGAACGATAATTGTTAGTCTGACCTCTTGTTTCTTTTGTTTTCCTTTAATTATAACATTTACTTGTACATGTGAGGATTATTTTCTATTTTATAATAAATACTGTAAAATATGTAAAAAAAAACAAGCAAAAGACTTATATTACAAAGTCAATCAACCTCAAAAAGCACGCAGTGTTTGATATAAATTTATCTAATACCTTTAAACGAGCAATTCTTTTATATATGGATATGTATATAGTCTGAAATTCAGAAACGGCTACAACGATTTTCAAGAAATTTAGTATGTGGGGGGTTTCGGGGGCGATTAATCGATCTAGCTAGGTTTCATTTTAGAAAATTTACAAAAAAAATACCTAGCAAAGGTCATCTCGGTCATCCAGGTACTTGGCATAAAATAAATCTTATGTTTCTTTTTTCCTCTGCTTTTTTATCTTCTTTTATACTGGCGCACAATTATTTGTGAGCTGAAAAAGAAATACCTTCTTAACTCTTACTACAACCACCGTTAGTTTTGTATCTACTACCATTTGTATATTATTCTTTTCAGACGGGACTAGACTAATGGCTAAATTTTTATCAAAGTGTACTGTTCGTACGTTCGTGAAAACATCAAGTTATAAATCTAATAAATACTAAATAAGAATTCAAAAAAGGAATCAGAGGGATTTGTGTCCATGAGTGACTGGTTTTTTTTAATTTATAGGTTCACAGTGACTTCGTAGCTGCAGCTACTCGGGGAGCGATGGCTGTTGTCGACGGCAATGTGATGGCGATCAACCCTGGAGAGGAGCCCAAGATGCAAATGTTTATTTGGAACAATATTTTCTTCTCTCTAGGTTTTGATGTTCGCGATCATTACAAAGACTTGGGAGGAGATGCTGCAGCTTTTGTTGCGCCCGTGAGTATAAGTGTTTGTTATCATACACCATCAATATTGAAAAAGTCTGGGTTATTTTCCTGTCATAGATAAACTAAAGATTTTTAATTAAGAAATTTGAAAAAACACGACAATTGTAAACTAAATAAGAATGGAAGCAGTTAAGTGCAGTGGCATATTTTTTAGTATTATATATAGATATATATATATATTAGTAGTATATAATATATATTATATTAACAAACAAATGAGTTTAAATTACTAAAAGACCATAAAGGTCTTTATATAGACTAGTTATTGTTGTTCTTTTTAGTTTTTTTTCAATAATAAATAGTATTACAAGTTATTATTATTACTACACTTTCTTTATCTAGCGTAACGATCTCCAAGGCGTTCGGGTGTACAGCGCAGTAGACACGGCTGGGCTACACACACTCGGCACTGTAGTAGTAGACTACCGGGGTTACCGAGTCACAGCCCAGTCCATTATACCAGGTATATTGGAGAAAGAGCAGGAACAAAGCGTTGTTTACGGAAGCATTGATTTCGGAACTACGGTCCTGTCGCATCCCAAGTACATGGAGTTGGTAAGTTGGCTTTTTTGAGAACGATTAAAAAAAAAAACATGTAAATCTCTGGACATTTCTATCGAAAAATATATATTCTTAAACTTAATAAGAACACTATTTATGTTTTCTTTTTTTGTGAAAGTAACTGCAACGAAGTGGCAAAAGTCATAATTATGATTGATGAACTATGATGCATAAATTAAAGTTTTGTGAGAATAAGAAACTGTACATAATCTATATATATATAAATGTTAAGTTGGTTTGTGTACGCTTCATAAACTCAAGTTCTGCACTGACTGAGCTCAAATTTTGAGATGAAATACAACACACTTCACTGATGGTTTCTATCTATTTTCGCAACCCCAATGTGCCAGAGCGAAACGTGGCAGGGTACAACTAGTTAATTATACAATTTAAAGAAGTAGCTGTACATAACTAATTTTTTTTTTCGCTTAATAAAATTTTATTTATGCCGTCAAAACTGAAATTATAGAAAGTTATGCAGAGGTGTCTACAAATTAATAAATTAGATATTTTGTATAACAGTTAGAAATCTTACCTTAAATATCTACTAAAAATAATATACTGTTATTATCTTTTAAGTATTTAACATAATAATATACCGCTTAGAAATGGATACCTTGCTAAAACCTACATTTTATATTAGAATATCATTTATTCTAATATAAAATGAGTTAGTTTATGTCCCATTGTTTTGAAACAAATCTTTAAGTGCATATATTCAATAGTATGTACTAGTTTTTGACACCTCGATATGTATGCCTAATAAATCCGATATTTGGTATTATATTGTTGTAGAAAACTAATCGGCTGAATGAATAATATTTAAACATGATTTGACATGCGCTAATGCTCAAGAGAGCAATGACGACAAGAGTTAATTAATTTATCGTTTAGGTAATTTGATTTACGGTGACGGAATAATAATTCTGTGACCGTCATGTCCTTAAAAGCTTAACAAGTTCTCACACTACTATTAGCAAACTATAAAGAAGTTATGTTTATTTTATACATTAATATGTATGTGAATTTGTCAAAAATAGAATTGATTTTTAATCCCATTTCTAGTCTTTGATACCTTTTCTTCGTTAGTCACATGTATTTGCGTTATAGTAGTTACAGTTTCAAAACTAGATAAAACTCTATTTTTAAACTTAATAACGCCATAAAACTTAATGAATGCTAATATTAAAACTAATGTGTGTTATACAGTTAAACAAAGCTGGCCAGCAGTTAAAAATAATGCCGCACTCGGTGACAAGTGCCAACGGCGAGACTGTTGAGCTGTGCTCTAGTGTTGAATGTAAAGGCATCATTGGCAATGATGGCCGACACTATATACTAGACCTGCTTAGGACCTTCCCACCGGATGTTAATTTCCTACAATGTAAGTTTAACAAATAAATTGCTTAAATTGTACTAGGCTAGTTTGAATTTTGCAACATAGTCATAAAAGGCACATAACTTCAGTAAAACACAAAAAGGAGTTACATAACAACTAAATCTTAAGTAGATATACTTCAAGCAACTAAAGGAAGGGGATTTTATATGAAGTGTATATTTCTTGTTGCTGGTATATGAATATAAAGTAGTTCTTATTGTTGGTCGTACTAAGGACTTTCATCAAATTGTTATTTCATGTGTTGTTTATTAGTAAATATTATCAAAATTAAAAGCGTAGATTTCGTTGTTGACGGTAAATAAAATATAACTGAAACACAAATTTTATACTTATTGTTGTAGCTATCATCTACATTGGTGAATGCGTGTACAGAGGGTTATGTTTTCGCCAATATTTATACCCTATCTTTTAAACCTTTCAAGTTAATTGCCTATATAATATTGAGGTGATTTTGTTTTGTTTTTAGTGGACGACGATGAATTAAGAGAAGACATAAAGTCAATGGGTTTCCCTATTATCCATAAGCACAAACTCTGTTGTCTAAGACAAGAATTAGTTGATAGTTTTGTTGAGTAAGTATATTAAATAATAGTATATTATAAGTATATTAAAAAATAAACCAATTACTATTTTTGTTTTAAAGCAGTCATATATAGTATGTTATTCTAACAGGGCACGATACTTTATGTTCATTCGCTATGCCGCTTTCCATTTACAACAATTGAGTGCTAAACGCCAACGCGATACAAACGAACAAAAATCTATTGAAGCGAATAAAGAACCAGACGCAAAAGAGTCTACAAAAGAGGCTACTAGTAAAGATGCAAACCGTGACACTAAGAGCCAAGAGAAAGAACTTAAAGGCAAAAAAGAAAAGAAAGAAGGGACAAATAGTGCCAAAAAAGAAGAGAAGACAGATGCTGAGACAGAAGAGAAGAATGATAAAGGCAAAGATGACGAATTGCTATTGAATGAAAACTATTCTGAAATAGATACTGATGTAGCTAAAAAGATTGTCGAAAGTATAACAGACTCTATCTGCAGTGGAGATAAGCAAGAGAGCGATTGTAAGTATTAGATTTTTTATCCTTATTAGATTTTTGGCTTTTCTTACAATAATTTATCCAACTGACGACTCGAGATTATTAACCCTGTGTTAGATTATAAACAGAGATAATATTTTCTGTTAATCATTTTACAGCGTAATGCTGTCTAGATTGTTTTCTGGATAATGAAAACTGCAATGCATCAATTAATGCATAAATAAATGGTTAAGGGCTTACCTAATTTGAGTCCTATTTTGTTTACCATTGCTACTGATATTGAGTTTATTTTTATAGAGTAAAAAACTGTAAATAGATATCTAAAGATGGAAAAGAGTACATGAATGGCGATAACGGGACAATTATCTTGTAATTGACACAATAACCTTATGTCCCCAGTAGTTTATCTATAGTCTTTCTACTCTATGGACCGGCGATCAGGTCACAGTAGAATATAAATGTCAATTTTCATTTATTTATTTATGACACACAATACAACTATATTTACAGGTTTTGTACCTAATACAATAGTGTAGCCATTCGTTCTTAAAAACATGTATAGTAATGTATAATACATATTCTCTTTTTGGTTTTTCATATTAAGATCTGCCTCTAGCTGTTCATTTCTTTCTATTAGAGCTTTTATTCTGTCTGTCTAAAATATCCACTTTATTTGCCTTTTCTTGCACTACCTTCAATATTTTTTTCACTTTACGCAATACTGTTTCTGTAGTTATAAATCTATTTGTCAGAATTATGTAATCCATTCTAAATTTAATCTCTAACCGAAACTCCTGCAGCTCTTCTATAAGCTGTTTCTCGTAATCCATATTAGTTACCGCTTTTGTATTGCAACGACTACCTCGTTTCAAATTGACGTAACTGCCCGGTGTGAATGCTATGTTGCCTCTACAAACACACATAAAAGAGACACAAAGAACACCCAGGCTCAGAACAACAATTTGTGGATCACACAAAGTGTCGTCCCATGCCCCTACATGGGACGACACTAAGCGTAGTACTGAGCGGCGTGACGACCGCTTAAACTACTACGCCATCCGTGCGATGATACTGAGACACTACGATACGACACTACGACTAAATTGGCTAATGAAAATGAGTCTGAACCTAAAGTACTGCAAAATACTGTTTAAATTAATTTTTATCTATAAAAAGAAGTTGTTTATAGATAGAAAAAAGGAAACATCTTTTTTTTTATCCTATTATGTTCGATAAAGATTTTTGCGTAACCGTTGATCACACACACGTCCAGTTGTTTTTTGTACAACAGAAGGTAACGGTATATACAATAGATAATTTTATTGTTCAATTAATATTTTGTTTAGCTGGCGAACGATCACGTGCCGTGGTCGCGGCGGCAGCACGGGCCGTAGCTTCACTCAAAGAGTCAGAATTCGACGTGCGTTTCAACCCCGACGTATACTCGGCCGGCATCAAGCATGCTGCCACTCCCGAGCAACTCTCAAAGCAAAGACATTTAGTCAAGGAGGCGGCAGCATTTTTGCTTACAACTCAAATACCGGCTTTCGTGAGTTTTCAGACTACTTGTTTACAGCTTTTAACGTACATTTTTATCATTTTGAATGATAACCTATAAATAATTAATCCATAATCTGAAAATAATTTGAAATAAATTTTGTGACAAGCATTTAAGATTCTAAGTCTACAATCCGTTTTCAAAGATTTACATAAATGACACTGTTTTCAGTGTCTTGCACTCGCACTCCTTGGTACTTATCTCACGATAAAAAAATGTGTTATATGTAAGTAAGGTAAGTAAGGATACAAAATATTATTTCAAATGTTGTATCATACTGACATAAAATATTTAAATTATAACTATTGTGCATTTTTGTTTTTTTCAAGCTCGATAAAACAATTATTAAGGCAATAATACAATTTGCAGAACAAAACCGGTTTCAGCAGTTCAAAACACAACAAAACAAATGCCTTTGACTTGAATACAAGTCAAAGGCATTTGTTTTGTTGTGTAAAATACACAACTAAGAAACGGGCTTCTTATCCATAGGTTCGAGAGTGTCTGGAACACACGTCAGCGCCAATGGACGGAGCAGGGCTAACGGAGGCCCTTCACGCGCGGGGTATCAATGTGCGGTACTTGGGCAGGGTAGCGGCTGCGCTGAAACCTCACCCTAACCTCTCGTACCTGCACGCCATAGCTGTTGGAGAACTTGTACTAAGAGCTGCTAAACACATCTACACAGCATACCTGCAGGTTAGTCCCTCGATCAGAACTGTTTTAAATGCCAGGTGCAGCGGTATTGCCATACTAATGTAGCTCAAATTAATAATTACGCGCAGATATCAGTAGTGAATGGAGCTTAATATTCTTAGTTCCAAAACTCATATGAGTGAAAACATGGTGGTCTATAGATTAAAAACTACCACTTACTACTATTTCGTAAAACTACTGTATTTATTGCGTTATTATGTTATAGTAAGCAAAAAATCAAACATTATGAGGTTAATTACTCAAAATTGTGTTCAATAATAAATTATATCGATAATAGTGACATTTTATTAAAATATTTATTATTATGAAAATGTTTAAAAGGAGAGGGTTCTCCTTTTTCAGTCTTGGTATAATTAATTCTCTAAGTATCCATACTAATTATTTGATTTTTTTTGAATTGATTTTTTTTTATATTACCCAAGAATTAAAACATACATAGGTATATTCAATATTATTATTTGATAATCTTCAGGGTTGTGAAGCAATGTGCATTGGTGCTGCAGTTGCTCATTTCCTCAACTGCCTTATTGGAGGATGTGCGACCCCAGCCTTAAGCGCACCCGACGGGCCAGTGGCTGCCAGGGGCGCCACGCGCGGTGGCCGGGGCCGCAGGTCGCGCAAGCACGGCTACACACCCACGCCCCCTAGCCCGAACCCCGACTGGCAGAACTTGACGCCGAAATCGCTTTTCACCCAGATAAAACAGGAACTGAAGGTATATTTAAAACAGTTTTATTTTTAATTACACTAACTTTCTTACATTGAACAATACAAATTTTCTTGTTATGAGGATTTTTTAAAGTTGGCTTTAGACATCTGACGTTCATTCGATTATTTTTGTTTCATTCCTCACACAAGCATACACGTTGTTTCTTAGATACATCATTACAATTCATAAAACATTATGATATAATAATGCATAAAGAGACTGAAAATTACAAACATTTAATTAAACTTAACATGTAGGAGCATTATCTACTACTCTATCTCAATGTATTATTTCTACATTTGTGTACATAGGTAATTATAGGTTAAACAACTTCTACTAGAGATAGCTAAAATAATCATTCATGTATAGAAATAACAGTTACTTCTTATCAATGCAGTCCATTTCAAGGTGAGAGATCGCCGTTCGTGATAAGAAGGCTCATTGTGCTAAGAAGTTAATAATAACTCACTATTTAATATGACGTCAGTGGCGTCTAATAAAAAATAAAACCTCCGAATGTGTTGGTCATAGTTTATTTTTTTCAGGCCTACTGGGGTTACGACCTCAACGCAGATAATATGGATTCAGTAATCGAGAAACATGGTTTACAAAAGATATCCCTCCTCAGGTAAGTCATTTCAAGTCACCCCTAATAAATGTTACAGAGGCGATTAAAACAACAATCACAGTGAATATAGGTTATATAATTTTGCAGTGTCTGTAGCAAAAAACTAATCATTTTCAGGTCATTCGCTCTTAAAGTCGGCCTTCAACTAATGTTGCGTGAATACGATCTCGATAACAAGAATAAGGCACCGTTCACGGCTTCGGACATTATGAACATTTTCCCTGTCGTCAAACATATCAACCCACGAGTAAGTAATAGAATGCACAACAGGAATTTTGAAAGGATTAGTACAGTACCCAGCACACAAATATCTAGTTAAATTAACAATCTGGTTTGGTCAGCATTAAAAGTAAAATCTAAACAAAATTTGTGAGTGATAGGATCTAATATCAACATTGCGATATTATTATATTGTATACTCAGATAAACGTATTTTGTGGAGTTTGTATAAACTTAAACTTTAAATTGAAAGATTAGAGACTTGTGTATAGTGTTGACGTATTATCAACCCAAGTTGGAACTTAATTATTCTATAAAGTATGATGAAATTTCAAACATTCGTTTATTTTTGCGAATTCGTAGAACTTTTTAATGTAACAAAGACCTTATAAACCTGTAACTTTACAAAAAACCCTTTCTAAATAAATGTGTACCTAACTGTTTAGCCAAATCAGCAAATCATTTTTACCATTTTGTTTTAACCAGTGTACTTTTTAATTAAAAGTAGTATCAGACCGTGTTAAATATTGAACGATTTAACTCTTTTCAGGCCTCAGATGCTTATAACTTCTACACAACTGGGCAAAACAAGATCCAGGCGGGTGCGGTCTCTGAAGGTCATGAACTAATCGCGGAGGCTCTTAATCTTCTCAACAATGTATACGGCGCTATGCACGGAGAAATAGCTCAATGTTTGCGTATGGTCGCTAGATTATGTTATGTCACAGGGGAACATAGGGACGCCATGGCGTATCAACAGAAGGCTGTGCTCATGTCAGAACGAGTTAATGGCATTGATCACCCGTACACTATTACTGAATATGTAAGTACGATTACGCTGTTGTATTTAAACCTCCTTTCTAAGGAGAGGCCTATGTCCAGCAGTGGACTAGTATAGGCTGTTGATGATGATGATGATGATTTATACCTTAAGGCAATTATGAGAAGTGACTTTGGAACTTTGAGCAACACTTCGAAAGTACTTGTACACTAAACATGTAGATATATGAGTCTTTAAAATCAAGTCTGTGAGTCAAGTTGCCTATGACTACATAGCAAGTTTGTTAATTTTGGTTGGAATAAAGTTGTATGATATAAAATCAACTCTTATAGCTAGTTGGAGCAAAGAATTGTAATTTATCTTTTCAATATTTTTTTAATGTAGATCAAAATGTAATAGCTGGCATAAATTAAAAAAAAAATCATGCGTAGAAATTAAAACTTGCCGTCAGTGTGAATCGAAGCATCGTTAACCTCAAAATGTGGATAGTTTGATGTCCTAACAGTACTTATTAAAAACATTAAGAATTATTTTGAATAGGATTCGGATAATATACCTAATTCGTAAGATACGATATTATGCATTTTCAGTCTCATCTGGCGCTGTATTGTTTCGCTAACGGTCAAGTGAGCACTGCACTGAAGCTGTTGTATCGTGCACGTTACTTAGCATTGCTCGTGTGTGGTGAGAATCATCCGGAAATGGCGTTGCTTGATGTAAGTAAACGATTAAAAGTATGTACATAACTAATTAACTAAACGTGCACAAGAAAATATATTTTAAAGAAAATCCTAACTGGTGTGAAATATTATTTTATCATTTTAAATGCATCTCAATAAAAAAAAGCCTACTAAAAGTTTACTCAAAACAACAGTATCATGTTGAGTTTTAGTTTATATTTGAGTGTCTATAAACGCGTAGACAATGTCAGTTTTGAGTCCATAAGTAATTTTTATGGATTTATGAGACAATTTTTTATTAAGTATGTAAGCCATCTCGGGTTGCCCGAGTTCTAGTTTGCCGTTCGGTAGTCGAAAGTGACGTATACGTAATGTGTAACAGAGTAACATCGCGCTGATCCTGCACGCGGTGGGCGAGTACGAGCTGTCGCTGCGGTTCGCGGAGCGCGCGCTGAGCGTGACGAGCGCGTCGCACGGCGCGCGCTCGCTGAAAGCCGCCGTCGCGCGGCACCTGCTCGCGCGCACACTCTCCTGTCTCGGGGACTTCCGCGCCGCGCTGCAGCACGAGAAGGAGACCTACTCCATCTACAAGCAGCTGGTTCGTATGCTCCACGCCGCCTATACGATACTATACGATACGCTCGCCAACGTACATATATAATATGAGTGTGCACGCTCTCTGCAGTTGGGTGAGAAGCACGAGAAGACTCGCGAGTCGTCGGAGTGCCTGCGCCACCTGACGCAGCAGGCGGTGGTGCTGCAGAAGCGGCTGGCGGAGGCGTACGCGCGCGCGCCGCACGCCGCGCCCGCCGCGCCGCCGCTGCACATCCAGCCGCCCGGCATGGCCTCCGTCATCGACATGCTCAACCTCATCAACGGCATCCTCTTTGTGCAGATCAGGTACCGCACGCCACTTACGTACGCACGCGAACACGTCTACGTTTATTTATTTATTTTAATTTATAGAATAATCGTAGATTCGATTCCCACCCAGAACAAACAATTGTGTGATGGGCACGTTCATTTGATCTGTGCCTGGGTGTACTTTATCTATAATATGTATGTAATTAGAAATATATACACAGGGTTATCGGGTTAGTCGACCTAAATACTTTAAGGGGTTGTAGGTTCCGTCATTTCTAATAGATTTCACTATGACATACCATATCTCAAACCTAACCAGGTAAGATGTTATAATCTAACAAGATATTGGACTTTTAGGATTCCTTATAATAATCTTATGCGTATTAGCATAAAACTTATTGTTCCGTGCCAAACTGCATTATTATTGTATTGGCGGTTAATCGAATTTATTTTATTTTAAGACTATCTTACAGACTGATAACACACTTTCTATAAAAAAAATCAATAAAAAAGGTTGCTTAAAACAAGCCGCCACATAGATATGTATAAGCGAATAAAAATACATCAAAATAACATCAAATCAAAACTTAAAAGAAGGTATATGACTGCAAAAATATAAATATTTATAAGGAGAAATATGTTAAATCGATTATATCAGTATAATTTGCAGTAGGTATCACATTACTCTGATATGCATTCTCTCCACAAACAATGAAAAGAACATATTAAGTGAAGTATTGCCACAGTAACCATTAATTGAACCATTAATTGAGTAAATGTTTACAAGAACACCGTATGACGATAAACTGCCAAGCGAGTTAACCATTATTAAAATAATAAAAAAAAACATAGTTTTAAAATACTAAAAACACGCTTTCTAACAACGTTGTTTTTCTTTCTTTCTAACGCGCTAAGTACACTACCTCATAGGTGGCGTGGAAACTTGTGCATATTATGACGATAACAACTTTTATAACTTTTTGAATCGTTATATCTCAGAAACGGTGGCTCGTAAGAAAAAAAGTATTGATACATTTTTTATAGATAATTTTATGATCTACAATTTTTGTCTGAGGTACTTTTTGATAAAACTTACCGTTTTGCTGAAAATCGCGAAAAACTCATTTTTATGACCTTTGACCTTGAATTAATTTTTTTCCTTACAGGGGAATGATGGGGAACTTCTAGACATTGTTTATAATTATGTTTTGAACAACTTCACAGAAATTCAGCTTGTTGGGACTTTATGTAACTTCGAATGTCTAAATTGACCGGACTATTCTATAGAAAACCAAACTACAAAAAAAAAAAAAAAAAAGCGTTGGGTGCCTGTTGTCAATAGTAAAAAGCACCACTATAGAAAGCGTGTTTTTTTGTTTTTTTTAAACTATAATTTTTTTATTTCTTTTTTAAATTAGTGTATTGTCATCGGTCTTCGATATATCTACAAAGTTTGAACGAATTCTGACCGTTTAAAGTCAGTCAAAAGTCACGCCCAAAGGAGTCGGTTACAAACATACAAACAAACATACAAGTGAAGCTAATATAAAGCGTGTAAAAATCCATTTGCCAAACGCCGCCTTATTGCAGCGGGGTTGCTTTTGAAATAGGTCAATATTTAGGTCTAAGTAAAGATTGTTGTAAGTTACCGTAGGCAAGAAAAATTAATTACGACTGTAATTTGCTAACATTTAACAATGATCTCTGGCGGAATCTTGTTGGATTGGCACGTAGGCATATTTTTGAGACAAGCTCTGTATATATCGGTATAAACTACGTCAACCTGACCGTGCTCCTCCATGCCCTGCGTTATAAAATCAAGTGACAGGATCAAGTTGAAAGCGTCCCTTTAAAAAGCCATGTTGTTCTTTACTAATATTATTTCTCATGACAGTTAAATTGTAGATTTGTTAAATAACATGTACGTATTCTCAGCTATCTAACAATATATAATAGTCTAGGATTGTATTAGAATTCACAGATAAAAACTTAGATGAAAACCGGATGTGTTAAGAAATAGCGTACAACCGTAGCGTAGTATCTAGTTGAAATATTGGATTGTATTTTTGAACAGTTATTTTTTCTTCTATGAAAAGGCTTACTAGCAACCGAAATTACTAGTATTCCCGTTAACCCCTCCAGCTAAGCTAAATTGCTTGTATTAGGAGTGGGTTCACGTCGGTAGTGTACGGGTCAGGATTCGAACCCACGACTTCTTGATCGCAAGTCCAATGCCTTAACCACTAGGCTACCGCCGCTTGTTTTGTTTTCTATTTGTGACTAACTAAGTGGACTTTGATTTGTGCTTCTGATACTGTTGAAGATTAAGACCTATACGAACTAGGAATTTGCTGATATTATGATTTATTACGAATATTATTACCCATCCCAGTTTGTTAAATTAACTACAATTTTTGTCATTGAAATTATTATTATTTTTTATCACCCAAAAACAGTAAAAATCCATTACTTTTAAAAGTCCAATGTCTTGAAAATAGTTAGTTTTGGAATATGATATTTCATAGTGAAATATATCAGAAATGATGGCAACTACAACCTCTTCAAAGTATCTAGGTCGACTTACCCAGTAACCCTGTATAAGTTTTTTTATCAGCGATCTGGTTACCATAGTACAGGCTCTGCCTAGTTTGGGATCAGGCGGCCGTTATTATTCTCTTTATTACATTAAATATACAAATAAATTTCATTTTTTAATTTATTTATTTACAAAAAAAACAAAATACATTTAAAAATACAAAAAAATTGTGTCCTATTGCTGTCGGGTATAGGGCCAAGATACTTTTTTATTTTTAATCTAGCTGCCTAACTCGACCCCCTGAAGACGTTGGTCGAGGCTTAGCAATTAATTTATGGGCCGATCGATATGACTATTGGTACAATGATTGCTGAAGCCACATCCCACATGTCCACAATCTCGTGGGCTAAATCCAAATACTTGTTTATCTTATTCAGCTTTCATGAGATTGTCATCATGTGGAATGGTAATATGGACAATCATTGCCCGGCGCTCTAATCGGTCTATTGCCACTAAATCAGGTCATAATAGGGCGATCCCAGTACAACGTTGCACGACCATTTTCAAGGGTCGAGTACATATTTGTAGTACGGTACACAGTCACAAGGTTATATTTAAGAGCAAGTTGCTGATGAACTATCCTGGCCACTTGGTTATGTCTAAGCAAGTACTTGCCGTTGGCAAGACGAGAACAGCTGGAAAATATATGTCTGAGGCTTTCACCGGGACAATGACATGGCCAACAAATGTCTATTGTGCCTTCCTTCAGGATATACTTCCGATAATTATTCGTCATAACAACTATGCAACATAGATGATGATGATTCTCTGCGAGTCTCCCTTAAGTTGGTGTAGAAATGAGTGATTAGGTGCACTAAACTTGAGTAAAAAGTTCCAATGTAAATATAACAGGAATTAACTCCCACAAGATTCTTCTGCACTTTTACATAAATATTGTACAGATATAATAATATAACTGGATAGTTCTATTTTTCTTTAATATTGTTTAACAGTCCTCAAGATATCGAGCAGTTCAAGGCTGAGATCGAGAAGAGACAGTTAAAGGATTTGTCCCTGCCTGAGGTGGGTGAGGACAAGCCTGGGCTGGAAGAGCCCAACAAGCCCGACGATGCCAAGGGCGAGAGTTGAAGCCGCTTGCACTGTGCGCCCAATTTTATGGTTCCACTTCTGGACGATTAATTATACACATTGTTACTTTTAATATAATATTATTGATTGATGATATTGTTCCTTATCCATGAATGTATGCGGTAGTGAATAGTGTGCTAAGGTTTGATGTAGATTTTTGTTAGTTAATTTTCAGATTATTTTGATCAAATTATTAAGTGTTATTTCGTATGAATTCTCGCATTGTGCAATAGTCGATGCATGTGTGTGTTTCGCTCAAATCACGCAGATCTAGTTATAATTTTATGCTTCGTGATCACAATTTTATCGAGACTCAAAGTAGTGCAATTTCAGAGTAGTGATAATATCAATTAGTTTTGGTTGTGAACCTGAGACCGTGTGCGTCGCTATGTTATGGTAACTGGTGCTACTGCCAATTTGTCCTTCATATATATTATAATGGTTTTATGAATTGTTATTGTCGAGTATTATTTTTTTTTATTAGTGCGGGAGTATATTGTTGCAACACCAGTAGTAGTAGTAGAAATTCAGTTATATTGTAATTGAAATGTAACATAACTTGGATTGCTCATGTATAACAGATAAAGCTACGTGAAGGTTCATTTACTGCAAGCGATGTTTAGAAGAATATGAAGAACTTAACCGAATAGCTGTTTGATATTTAACAAACACTGCCTTGTAATATTACATTAGTTTCAGATTTAGTAGTTAGTGCCATATGTGTGTAGTGAGAGTAAGTTTTGTGTAATTATTTCATTAGTCTGTGATATAGCATGTTCATCATCGAGTCGCTTGCCTTGCGTTTCGGCTTACAAAACTTTGATATTAAGATAGGACCTACTAAACTGACAAACCTTAAATTAGGGAATGTAATATAATAATGATATACTATAATTGTAATATAAAAGCCTTGTGAAAGGAACGTGTAGCTCTAATGTATCCATGTTATACTTCTATTTAAATCGACTATTCTTGTAATGATATTGATAGTGCCAGTGAAGCCAAATTGACGAAAGTGAGTTTTGGAAAAAAATAATGTATTTTAAGAGTACGTTGCCTTTCAAAAATAATCAATAGTTGTATCAAATATTGGTCAACAGTGTTGTCACATATCCGAATTGGTAGGAATATTTTTCGCACGTGTGAGTCAGTCTCCATAACAAGTTGAACTGTCGATACAATTCATTGCATCGGATAAACTGTTGGCATGTGCCTATGCGGATTTATATATCTCACCGTATGTAGTACTCCTGTATCGTAGTGGTATATTGCTTTTTTATGACATGTCGATCTGAAGTATCACCTTCCTTTTTACCAAATATGTTCCGTATGCATAACATTATACAATGTTATATATATATATATATATATATATATATATATATATATATATATATATATATATATATACATATATATGTGTTATAGAAAGGTTTAGTCAAATTTAAAGAGATATATAGCTGATAAAAAGTTGCTTAAAAATATAAAAAACATTTTATTTCTTCAGAAAATATTTTTTGTAATGTGCTATGTCTACATTTGTAAACATGATGAATTTTCATGCCAATTGGGACTGTTTTAAATATTCGCTTTTTTAATTGTTTTAGTTTAGTGTATACGACATCAACTTAATATGTTTTAGTATGGTCATATTTTAACTACACCTTTCTGTAAAACCCAGTAGAAGTAACAGGGAACATGCGATATTATATTTTTGCTTTTGTTACAAATAGATTACAAATTTGTATACCTATGAGCATAAAGAATATATAAACGCAACTTAAAAATATAGGCATTAACTAATTTATTGCAAAAAAAAGTGAAACTGATTTATATGACCATATCTCACTGTTCATAAAAAGTACATTGGCTTGAATTGTCTTAGTGAAGAGTACCTCATAGTAACTATCGAAGTCGAGATGTTTTTTGTATTTAGTACTTGAAGCACCATAAACACATTTAAGAACGTGTGTTGAAAACTTTTTGAAAATGTAATATTTTTGAAGTTTATCATTATTGCGATGAGTAGGAAACTAAGCTGGAGCCTTACTAGTAAAGTCAACTCAAACCACAAAACTGAATAACTTTCATGTTAATAGTAAATGTTAAAATAATCAGTATAGAGATAATATTTCAAGAAATAACTGGTGTATCCAACTATCCAACAAAACTTGAACACAACTTAAATAGTTATATAATATATAGTTATAGAGTTAGTTGAACTTGTTAAATGTGAGTCCCTTGTTAAACTGGTTATACAAATCGAAGTAGACCCTTTCATGTCTACACTTGAAGCATTGTACTATCGTGAAAAAGTCACAGCGAATTAACAATAACTTTTAGCAGATTCTTGGAAATTCCTTTTGGTGAATCAATCTTCTATGATATCAGGAACTAATATTAACAACATTGCAAATTATGTTAGTTATAATTTCACATCCATATTAACTAAAACAAAAACGTTGCAGTGACCCTTCACATACATTTCCATAACATTTTAAACATACAATGTTCATGAATATTATGTTAGCACCTAATAGGGATATTGCATGTAAAGGCGCCTCGGCGGCACCGGCGAGTCGCAACATGCTAGTTAGCTAAATGTATAAGAATATTGTTCAATGAATTACGTGCCTAAGCAAACAATAATCAAACGTTACATTTCTTTAACAATATGATGACCATGTAAATACGGCGCTGTTCGTAGTATGATAATAAAAAAATCGTTTTTATAAACTTCTTTCATTTATTCCTACTACTACTAACAAATATCGACATTCAGGGTATTTTTTTCCTTGCTAATTTTCTTAAGGTCCAACAGGTTCGTCATACATAAAAAAATATATAAAAAATTATACATTGCACTAGATGGTAAGTGACTACCACCGACCATGGACACTACAGTCAAGAGGCACAGGTACTTTGCGGTCAGATTTATTTTATTTTTAAAGTTATAGTCTACCTGCTTGACGGATACAGTTAATGATTCAGGAAAGAGGGCGGGCTAAATAACACAACCGTGTAGTAAACTTCGATCTTGGTAATAATTGTTTTAAGGTATTTCACTTATTACTTCTTTGGTGGTTAGATATGAAACGTAACACAACACAGTTATTAAAACAAACTAATCACCAATACTAGAATGCAGTAATTTTGTCTATATTGCCTAGTGGAAATAGATATAAAATTACAGTATTCTAACACTCTAATTATATGACGGATTAAGAATACCGAGTGTCACCACCCCTATTCATTCCGTGGGTGTCGTAAAAAGCGACTAAGGGAGCAAGCTACGCAGGACAACAGCACTGTAGAGAGAAGGAAAACTTGACACAAACCCTATACCAACCCGTCTGGCCAGCGTGGTGTAGTAGGGCAAAACCTCCTTTCTAAGGAGATTCCTATATCCAGCAGTGGACTAGTAAAGGCTGTTGATGATGATGATGAACCTTTTGTGTTGTCATATGTACAATTTACAAATATTCCATATTTATTCATTTATTCGTAGGCAAAATTCTTAATGATTGTTTAAGGTATTTATAAATACGGTTTAAGATCTTTATTTCTCCTAAGAAATAAAAAGTTTCATCTTGAAAATAGGTAAGAACTTGTGTCAAAATATAATTTCAGTATAATTGTATTAAAATAAACTTATTTATTTCATTTTCACCAGTCTTAAAATCAAAAATACACTAGATTAAAGATCGGGTACAAAAAAATATTCATACGTTCTCGTAATATGTGAATCACAGTGTTAACGGCGGATGAAAGTTACTCGGAATAAACGTCATACAAAACGAAGACTAACTGATGCCTTTTAATTGAATAGGCGGGCCACACATAGCGAACATCCTCGTGAGGCAATTGCCGCGCGAGGAAACTGTCCAACAAGCGCGTCAGTCTCGGTACCGTCGTCGAGGCTGTTGCGCGCGGCAACCAAGAGCCCAAATGGCTCGTTTGTCCAGTTGCGAGTTAAGTCATCGTGTCAGAAAAATGCAGTATATATTTCAAAACCATCTATATCAAAGATTGATTATGCTCGAGCGAGGCACGAAACAAAGGCGCCTTTGACCAAAACAAAAAACCGACAGTCGGTGGGTCGGCTGCACGCTCTGTATGAGGGCCGCCCGTTCACTTGCGAGTGCGGGGGCGCGGGCGCGGGCGAGCGCGAGGACGCGGGCGGGGGCGGCGGCGGCGCGCGCGCGAGCTGCGGCCGCGCTCCAGTTGCGCCGCCACCAGCTCGCCCAGCGCGCCGCGTTCCGCCAGCATCGACAGGAACGTGCAGATGAACTCGTCGTAGTTGTGGGTCCGCCGACACTCGTCCACCTGACACAAACGCGACTAATGTTTCACAACTATGCTTATACTCCACTTTTGCCCGACGAGGGGGAGGACATCCTCAGCACTTATTTAGCAGGCCAGTCATACTCCGCTTTTATATATAATCAATACGGTAGCGGCAGGCTTTAACGACACATGGTATTGTTATGTATTAATTTTTAATGATTGCGTTGAAAGTAGTCCAGTTCACAGGGATTCGTAAAACATAACAATTGTATCCATTACAATAAAAAACAAGTAAATTTATAAAACTTGATCCGATATATGGAGGAACAGGTGTCATGCCCCTCCAATACAAAGGGCCAGGCCTCCGACATGCTTAACCGGCTGCGGTCCAACGGTTGATGTTAGGAAGTCGTATATGTGATAGTCGGCGAGAGAATTATTTATATCGCTATAGAGAATTAGCAGTTACTCCGTAGTTCGGCCATGGTTGTGATACAACGCATGAAAAATAAATGATATAGATAAATGCATAAGTTTTGTGTTAGAATGTCATTACGGTCATGTCGTTGACAAAAAAAATGTAAACGACACTCCAGTGGTGTGGTTTGGTAGTGTCGTTTACAATACACGGATAAATGCCGAGTTACACATTAGTTTGGTGCTCATGCCATTGCTTCTATTCGTATCTAGACTATCAAATTCCTTACTAAAATTAGAATAGCCTAGCAAAAAGTAAGATAACTCACTTTTATTTAAATGTATTCGTATTTATATTTGATTCGATCCCTAATTCTTAATTGGAGAAGGAAGGAATATTATATTGCAACATGAAACAAAATTACTTGTTTCGAAATATCTTATAAGTTATAAGATATTTCGAAACCAGTCATTTTGTTATACGTTATAACATATTAATTGTCGTTAATGGTAGCTAACCTTATACATATCTCTTTTGTCATTCTCGTCGTTCAAAGCCTGTTGACACGACTGCACCTCATTAACTATACTGCTCATCAGTACGTTCAATTCCGAGTGGGTGAGAAGTAGCTTCCTTAGTTTGATAGGATGTTCCGGGTCTGATTGGCAGCACATTAGCACTGGAGCGTCGTTACTCTTGACAAGAGCGGTTATAGAAGTTGGATATAACTGAAATTTTGATAGAAAGTGCTTTATTTCTGTAGGAAGAGAGTTGTGTAGAATATTTACCTATTACAGAAGGGTCAAACGACCTCGGTGCGTCCTAATCATGTTTCTTGCGAATTTCATCAGCTTTATAACAATTATGGTAGGATATTATGTGGCTTTAAACTTCCACAGGAATTCCATTTGCGCACATATCACGGATTGGTATAACTGAGTTACACGTGATATTTTTGGATTTTTTTAAAATTGCTATGTATAAAATGGAACATGAAATTGTGTTCCTATAAATAGTCAAAACAATAACGCACGCGATCTAAAGATTATAGCATACCAATCATGAAACTGGTGTCACTGACACAGGCTTGGCCACCATCATGGATTTTACTTTTGATAACACAAAAATTTAGTCGCTAATTAGTCAAAATTTATCACTAAATATCAGAATTTGTCGGTCGCTGGTTCAAAAGTTATAAGCGTTTATAGGTGGTCCTGCTGGGGTCAGTCTACCAGGCTTGGCCACGCTTGTGTCTCAAGGGCATCTAGCGAAGATCTGTTTTATCCCAAATTTTGTCGCACAGATTTAGTCGGGTCTTAGTTTAGGAGATAAAATGAGCTCAATTTTTAAGGTAGGTAGTCTAAGAGCTAGATCGCAGAGTTTACAAAAATTATATTATTTAAGTCCTTGAAAATGACAGAGAGAGAAAAACTCTTAATTAAATACATGTTTTTATGTTTAAAATTACTAGGTTAGAGTATATAAATTCATTTATTACGTTAAAAAAGTAATGGAAACATCAAAATACACAAACCAAATATACAAATAATAATGTTAACCTCTAACTTACGTTAGGCTAATAAAACTTCTGTTGCCGAAATAAGAATATATGTTTATATACGTTAAAATTATCGTACCTACCTACCTAACATTTTATTAAAGGTATAAAATACTTAAACTTAGATATTGTAAGTATATAATTATCAATCTATTGCTTGTAATTACTACAATACTTTCAAAAAAAACAACCTACTCTTACCTAATCTTTAATCAGAGATAACTGCCTAATAATATCATGATCATTTGGCTTTTAAACTTCTGTTTTGAAATATGGAATGATTTATTACTTTAAAATTATTGTACTTAAAGTAAAATGTAAAAATACATACTTAATAAAAGGTACCTGGATACCCATTACATATACAGTGTTAAAAAAGTACCGGAACAGCAGAATAATTCGCTAGGGATGCATTTTTCGGAAATACGTTAAACACAAAAGTGACAGGAATTTATCGTTGGTGACCTTGATTGCAACGTTGAAGATTATCTCAGGGGTCAGGGGCAATTTTCAAATGGGATTGCATATTTTTGAGCTCGGAATTGACAAGAGAGGAAAAAATTACAATCGGATATGACCTTTGAAGTACGCAAATTTTGACTTCTAAAGGTCACCAATCCAAGGTCAAATCCTAGTTCAAAAGTTATAAGCGTCTCTGGGTAAAAACGCTTGTGACTTTTGAATCAGCGACCGACATGTTCTGGTATTTGGCGACTGATTTCGACTAATTAGCGACCAAATTTGGGAGAAAACAGATCTTTGCTAGGTGCCCTACTTTTTGAGATATAAACCTGGCTAACCTGGAGAGACTGGCTCCAGCAGGGCCACCTATAAACGCTTATACCTCTTGAACCAGTAACCGATAAATCCTGATATTTGGCGACAAATTTCGAAAATTTTTTTGCTTTATCAAAATTAAAATCCATGATGGTGGCCACCAGCTAGTGTTGTTTGTAATATTTTAATACTTATATTTTAACTCTTAATTTTTGTTGGCAGTTTTAATTTATAATTTTATTTAAATAAAAAGGCTACTTACATCTCCTATGATTTGATTGTCTCTATTAACTGTCACAATCTTAACTACTGCTCCCGGCTCAATAGGGTCCACTGTTAAATCAAATAAAAGTAAATTAATTTTTTTTATCATAAAGAAGTGTTCACAGAGAGTTAATGATTTTATTTTCTGTTTAATAGGATTTTAAAGAGTTGAGCTCTATATGGCGGGACTAGATGGCGTTGTGTGAATGTGGTACAATATAATATATAAATATATCTACATAAGTTGTTTCTGATTTTAATAAATCTTGTTCTTATTATAATCCAAAGTACCCTTTTTATTTTAGGGGGTAGATAATTCCGTCAGATCTTCGGCTGCTTGGGGACGTATCAGGTGTTTCTATTAAAAACCACCCCAACAATCGGCGACTGAATTTGAAGCCTAGCCTAGTTTTAGGTTTACTGATTATGTATTGTATATTATTATTATTTAAGTTACAATTATTATTAATTTTTTTTATTCAAGTCAGATCATATAACCCGCCCAAGGTGCCCATGATACTGGCAGCATTGCCTCGCTGAATTGCAACGGATATTCTTTGCACCAGAAACGAGCCGAAGCGGGAGTCACCACTTTTATCCCTCCAGATTATGTATTTACCTAAAATAATACTACTGTCCTGATGTGGACGATCATTTACACCAATCTCAATAGTAATTGGTCGCGTGTAGTCCACATCGTACAGCTGCAGTTGCGATGCCTCCAAAGCGGTAAGTATTGTTTCTTCACTAATTTGCACCATACTATCATTAGGTGAGTTCTCATCACTACATTCTGATATTACATCTCCGTTTTCTGCAAATATATAATATGCATGTGAAACCTGTAAAACTGACAACAGTTGTATCCAGGATAATTTAAATTTCACCATTCAATTCAGTAACGTTGATTTTAGGTCTAACGGGAATGGCCTTTGACTACACTGCTTGCCAAAGATGGGAATCTGCTCGATGCAGAGAAAACTTGAACATAACAACTATGGAAAGAAAGAAAGTAAAAATTACGTATATTAAAAAGTATTTTAAAATTAATTATTTATACGTTATTTTTAATAATCTGACGAATTTTTTCAACAACTGGTGCCTTTGGCATGCTTACTGTAGCAATGGGATCGCTTAACGTAAAAACGTAGTATGTTTGTTCTACTTTGAACCATTTGAGCTTACCATTTATTTCCCTGCGTTTAGATAGTAAATGTCTTAAATGTTTTCCAATTTTTGAGATTGCTTCTTTAACCCGTTTTTGATTCAGTTCTAGAGCGTTAAGTTTTTGCGTCAATGCTAACCGCCTATCAGGTACTACAGCCATCAAGTTGAATCTGAAAAATAAAATACCATTCCTTATAATTGTGACCATTTTTATTTTCTAGAAGTAGATCTCCACCTACAATAGTACCAGGGAATAATTTAAAGGAACCTAAGTATATGTAATATCTTTAATTACGAAGTATGTTTCGGTATTTAGTTTTCCATTAGTTCAGACTTTGACAACTGAGGAACTACTTCAGACTACTGCTGTCTACTGCTGAACGAAGGTCTCCCCCAAAGAGCGCCAAGCATTCCAGTCTTGGGCAGTCCCAATCCATCTTTAGCCAGCCATTTTTCTCAAGTTGTCGGTCCATCGAAGTGAAAAGTTATTTAGGGAATTAGTAATAAACTAAAAACACATCATCATCAAGAGCCTACAACAGTCCAATACTGGCATATTAAAAACACAACAGGCTTTTAATTCCAATATTTTGGCTGATGATTTTGACAAAATATTTTATACATGTTATGCACATAATATTATTTGATATATGACAAAAAACAAAAACATTGGAATTCACATAAAAATACCTGATATCATGCACCTGTTCCCCAGCATCTCTACCAAGTCTCTCAGCCATAACTCTCCTGAACTTGTCTGTCCAGTCTTCATCAGCTGCCCATGGTCCATGGTCAGTAGGAAACGGCTTTAACCCATCCAACTCAAATAGATGTCCATTGATAGGCACAAAACTTACAAAGTGATATGCTTCACCTGTTCATACAATTATATTATAAAATATATTTGTTAACTGTGACGGTAAATAATTATTAGCTACTTAGGCAAACTAAATAGAAAGTGCTTGTGTTTAGATGAACTTATTAAAGAAATCAACTTAAATTAAGCTTTACACATAAATCTCTTTGATTTTTTTTTAATTGTGTTAAATAAATTCTTTAGCATGTACCAATTCTTTTTCAATTTATCTGTTAGAATATGCTAGTGTTAGAATATGATAAAAATCAAAGTCATTTAGTCAAATTACACTGGGTGCCAGCACTTTTTGAATGTTATTGTTTTCATAAAAACAGTTCCAGAAAATGCCCAATCTGTCACCACTTTCTAGCGTTTAAGGTATCGGCAGGTCTAGGTGCATTTAATTTAAATTAGAAAAGTCCTAAGAATGAAATATCATCTCATTATTTAGATGTATAGAAATTGTTTATTTTTTTTAAATTGTACAACAATATACTTGATTATGCTATATATCTATTATTTAATAATAACATAAAATACATTGTGTTATTTTGTCACATGTTACATAATTTGTTAATTAATCTAAAAAACTCAACTTTTTTTTATTATATAGCTCTAAATGAATTCTAGATTTAATTGCCTGCTGCATATTCGCATGTCTCTGCTGATGCCACACTTGTACACAATTAGGTCTCCAGTCCATTTTACTACTGGATGATTAATGCTTACTAGTTCTGCCAGCATTATACCCTTTTAGATCTTATTGGAGGCAAGAACATAATTATTGTAATTATTTTTCACCCACAATATTAATTCTAAAAAACATCATTGCTCTCAGCAAGTTACATCTAAAACCAACCAGTGAAGCGTCCAGTAGAAACACCAGCATTTTTGTCTGTCTTTTTTCTTGCTTGAGGTATAGCATGAGAGTTGTGAGCACAGGCAAGTTCAGGTGTGTTACCAATGGCCCAACCTTTGTTCTCAGGGTTCATGCCAAGTGTGTGATGCTACAGAATAATAACAGGTACATTACTGTTAATGTTCAAAATTAAAAGATGTTAAGCTCCGCCAGAGAATAGTCAGTTACATATTTCAATAGTGTAACTCTAAAAATTGTTTATTAAATCTCTCAGAATTAGCCATAATAATATTAGAAGCATTTTGCAGTTTACAACTACATTAATGTTCCCATAGCAAGTTGTTGTTACAATAGAACTTATTTTATTGTTACAATAAATTTATATTAACAAGCATTAAATAATATAGGATTGTAATTTGTACAGAAACAGCATAGACAGGTTTGGTTTTGGTTTGATAATGAAAAGACAAGGAATAATATTCTATTACTCAACATTTTTACTATTTTTTTATTAACTTAAACAATTTACTGTTAAATTGGTAAACCTCCCAAAATTCGTAAACAAATTAGGTATCTGATATACCTCATTCAATATTTTACCAGAATTGATATAGAATTTTCAGTAATGCATTACAGTTTTTAATACAGATGCTAAACCTAAATGGAATTGTTTTAATTACATTTAAAATTACCCTGAGCAATGATGTAGAGGAGATGAACAAACTGTAGAGACAGACCATGTGATAATAGTTTAATGAAATAGTAAAATATAATAGTAATACTGTTAAATTGAAATAACTGATTTGAACCTACCTTTAACCTACTTAGAGTTTCGCCCAAATGTAGATTAGGGTAATTCAATAATATTGATAACAAGGCATGAGTAGCACAACTGTTTGGAACCATCTGCTGAGCGAAGAATATATTGTTTATAGTTTCCTCATCGCGTACAAAGCTTTCTATTTGTTCAACAAATTTTCTTCTCGACCTCCTCTCTTCTATCCATCGAAACAAAAAAATAAAACCATAAACCGGGCTCTCTAATGGTTTATGGAGATCATAAATTTCTTCTACCTGTACCCCTTTCACTCCGAAGTCTTCTAACAATAATGTGAATAGCCCCGGGTCGCTCTCTAGCTCTAGCCATCCCTCAGTCAGGCTGTTCAGTCCTACTGGCATATTTTTCATATAGGTTGATTGAAATATTGTCAACCTGCTGAACTATATTCTTTATCCATTAACTCTGATATATTTTATAACTAATTTAAAATTAGAGGCATTTTTATATGTTGATTGACATAATAGTATTATTGTACTCTGTGATTGATACACTCTACTTTTATTGACATATTAGACGTTTATTCAGTTAGTGTAGCCATAATTTAAAAAAGTTCTGCCTCTTATAAGGAACAGAGTAACGGTCAGAACTTAAAAACTATTCTTATAAGCCATTAATTATATAATACTAAAAATACAATATTTAAACCATTTAACCTCTAAAATAACAATTGCTTTTTTGTTTAAGTTTTTGTATGACTTCCCATGACAAGCTGGAGTATAAAAAGGTTATGAAACCTTATTGACTTTTGTATCAAACAAAATACCTAAGCTGTTTTGCAAAATGTAGGAGGAGAACGAGTCAGTTATTCTTATATTCAAGGTAAAGAAAAAGGTACAAAATGTTTTATATACTGCAAAAGTAACCAATAAAACGCGCTCACAAGAAGCCAAAAATTAAGATCCAAGAGGTCCAAGAATTTGTAGTAGCCTAGTGGATAGGGTGATATGTTACCGTTGGAATACGAAATACGTTAATGTGCGAATTAACTAGGTAATCTACAAATTGCCGGGTATGATCCGTTAAAGTGTGAAATTTTACTTAAAGTAGCAGATATCTACACTTTACCTAGTAAATCTGCATATTAACGAATCCTACGTAGTTAAATTACGGAAGACAGTAAACGAAACAAAAACGAAACTTTTGTTTCGTTTTCTCAATCACCCCGCGGGGCCGACCGGTCAGTCAAATGTACTTCTGAACACAATATCATAATGTTTCACCTTATCTAACCCCAATGATTCTACCAAAACCAAGCGGATTCGGACCGACTAAAACCACACGGTGTGTCACTCTGCGCCTGTAATAAGAGGGATCCAGGAACTGCTGTTATTAGGACTTCCGGACCCCTCCTAGCGCCTGCCCGCAACGGCGCGGGCCCCAAATTCGGGTGTATTCTCTATTTAGGAGACGTCCGGCACACGCGGACGTCGCCTCCTCGCGGCTGGCCGTTATGACGGGTGGAGGGGAAAACCCGTCCACCTGCGGTCACACTCAGGGCGGCATGAGGCGCTGGTAAGCGCGCGTTCACCGCCCGGTTAATCGTCGGTGAATTGGGTCCGAGTTGAGATTATCCTCAAGAGCCCTCTCCGCCGCCTTCTTCTGCGAGATAAAGTCTTCGCAGAAGGATGCGACCGCGGTAAAACAACTATAACTACCGGCCATGGAGCGTATGACGGCCGGTAGTGAGAGATCTCCCCCGATGACTGCAATGAGGACCCGATGCTGCGACGCCCAAGCCTGGCAAATTGCCAGCGTGTGCTGATCCGAGTCCTAACTGCAATCGCAGTGGTGACAGACAGGACTTAGTTCCCTCCTAGCGACCGAGTACTAGTTACTTCTTCCCGAAGCAGCCGTGCCCGGAAAAAACCTAAGTCAGTCGGAAGGAAAGGGTCCCGTGCTGCCGCCCTGCCCAATCGGCGACGACCGGCTGGAGAGCCTCCACGGCGGCGAAGCCAGCGCGTGGAGTCTCCAGCCGGAACGACCATCTGACCGTGGTGGCTCGGCGAGCGGCCTCGCGCCACTCGCGCACGTCTTCGGGCGGAGGGCGAAATCCTTTCTTCGCCCGGAAGTCAGCCACTCGCCGATAAACTTCGGCGAGCACCTCCGCCTCCAAATCCCACGGGGGTGTTCCGGCCAAGACGCAAGCCGCCTCGGTGGACACCGTGCGGTATCCGCGTATGGCTCTGACCGCCAATATCCTCTGGGGGCGCCAGAGGCGCGCCCTATTCGGGGCACTAAGAGCCGCCACCCACACCGGTGCACCATAAAGCGCCATGGACCGGACAACCCCCGCGTACAGCCGCCTCCTGGGAACACTGGCCCCGCCCAAATTGGGCAAAAGTCGCCCTAGGGCGGAGGCAGTGTCCACCAGCTTCGGACCAAGCTGTCAGAAGTGCTCGTCGAAGAGCCACCTACCGTCTAGGACCAGACCCAGGTACCTCATCTGGGCCCGGACCGGTACGAGGACCGAGCCAACCTCGATTGAGGCGCCGGTGGGTGGACCACGACGGGGCCCATGAAATAAGAGGGCCTCCGTCTTATCCAGGGCCACCCGTAATCCCAACGCCTCAATGCGCCCGACCACCTGGGAAACTCCCGTGGCGGCCAGGCGCGCCGCCTTAGCCCCCCGGGCCGTGAGTAAGGTGTCATCCGCGTAGCAGATTACACCCAGCCCGGGGGGGAGACGCCCTCGTAGGGCCCAGTCGTACCCGATGTTCCACAGGAGAGGTCCTAGGACAGACCCCTGCGGAACACCGCACGACATGGCCCTGCGTCTCAAGACGCCATCTCGGTCCTCGTACATGACGGTTCGCTCCTCAAGATAGTCTGCCACCAGCCACCTCAGGTACTCTGGCACTCCGTGGTAGCGGAGCGCTTCCCTGATGCAGCTGAATGGCAGCGTCCGGCAGCGTTGGCGATGTCCAAGGACACCGCCAACACCACTCCGCCGCAGCTCACGGCCTCCTCGGTCACGGCCCTAAGGCGCATCACGGCATCGATCGTCGAACGCCTCTCTCGGAAACCGAATTGGGCGTCCGACAGATCGGGGCCAACCTCGCAGAGGTGCCGGACGATGCGGGCAGAGAGCACCCTCTCGAAAAGTTTACCCGCCTCGTCCAGCAACACGATAGGCCTATAGGCCGCGACCGAATCGGTAGGCCGTCCCGGCTTCCTCAGCAGGACCATCTTCCCGCACTTCCAGCGCTCAGGGAAGCATCCGGACGCCAGGCTAGCGTCCAACACTTCCCTGAGGTGGTCCGACATGTAGTCGAGGGCTCGGGCCATCACTCGGGCTGGAACCCCGTCCGGCCCGGGGGCGGTGTTCTTGGATCGAATCCGTAGAACAGCCGCCCCCAACTCTGATTCCCTGACGGGCGGAACATCAACCTCGCTGCCCCCGTCGTCTCCGGCTGATGCAGCCATCGACGGGGGTGTGTGCTCCGCCCGCTGCGGGAATAGGCTGAAGGAAGAGAATCCTGCAGGAAGCTAAGCTGGAGAGTCTCCGTAAGGGGGGGGGGGGGGAGGCCGACGTGCGGAGCTTTTGACGCACCGCACGATAAGGGCGACCCCAGGGGTCACGCTCGAGACTCTCCAGCATCTCCTCTCTACTCACATCCTTGGCGCGGCAGATGGCCAGCCTCAGAGTTTTCCGAGCTTCTCGGTACTCCACATGAAGCCGGTCCACCTCCTCACCGACCCCGCGGTGACGTCGCCGACTACGGGTGAGGGACCTCCGGGCACGTACACAGGCCGCACGGAGGTCCGCCAACTCCGGGGACCACCAGTAGACCTCCTTCCTTGGAGGCCGACAACCACGAACGCGGGGCATGGCCGCATCGCAAATCTGCGTAATCGCATCGCAGAAGCGACCAGCCCCCATGTCGACCTCCTCGGTCGGGGCCTGCGGAGACAGCCAAGAGTGAATAATGGCCGCCTCCTCTAGTAGGTCTCTGTCGAGCTTGGCGACAGCCCACCGCGGGAAGCGGGAAGGGCGCCGCGCCGCGTGACCCCTACTGGGGTCCTGGGACCGGGAGAGCTCGAATCGGATGTACAAATGATCCGTGAGCGTCTCGACCTCTTCCAGGACACACCAGTTCCTTACTCGTGCGGCGACTGCAGGGGTAGTGAACGAAAGGTCCACTATCGGCCCCCCCTGCTGTCGCACGCACGTGTTGGTGGAGCCTCTGTTCAGCAAACAGAGGCCCACCGACGCCGCCCACTCCTCGACGGCTTCGCCCCTGGCGTCCGTCGCAGGGGAACCCCACGCAATGGACTTTGCGTTGAAGTCCCCCAGCACGAGGACGTGCCCAGACACTAGTCGCCGCATCGAGGCCTCCAAGTTGTTAAGGAAGACCTCGAAGTCGTTCAAACTCCGGTTGGGGGAGAAATATACACCATAAATGGTGATTCCCCCCCAATCGGCGGCAACATATCCAGTACCCTTGTCTCTTAGCGACAAGGGCGGGGAATGAGCCGCCGTGGAACCGACGACTGCCACGGAGCCGTCTCGGTCACCCATCCAGTTTGGACGCGGAGGGACAAAATAGGGCTCCGCGACTACGGCAACACCTATCGACCACTGTGCCATGGTTTGCAGGAAGAGATCCTGCGCCGCAGCACAGTGGTTCAGATTCGTCTGGACCAGGAGGTTGGAGACTTGATCCATTACTGGATCGTCTCTACAACCTCCTCCATGGGCGTCGGCATCGACGCATGATTGACGTCGGAGGCAGCCTGGGTCGGCAGGCTAGCCCCCGGCGTTTGCCGAGAAGCGCGGGGAGGCTTGCAGCCCCCCTGCCCCATCATGTGATTGGCGGGCTTTTTAGCCGCTGCACATACGGGGCAGTGAGGGACGGCAGAGCACTCTGCCGCCTTGTGCCCGGGTTGACCGCAGCGGAAGCATAAACCGCTGCAGTAAAAACAGCTCTCGCACCTGGTGCGAGTGTGTCCCGCGGCTAGGCACTTGAAGCACCTCATCGGCCTCGCGGCCAGAACCGTGATTCTGGCATTCACGAAGCCGACGAGCATTCTTCCGGCGTCGCCCAACGCTTTGGCCGATGCCACGGGACAGCTGACCCACACCGCACCGAGGCCTCCCGGACCCGGACGGACGGTGCCGACTCTGATGGTGTCCGCGGTGCACCCAGTCTTCTCCATGACTGCATCGCAGACATCCTCCGACGCTATAGAGTCGTCCAGGCCCGCGATGCGCAGTTCCGCGCATTTGGTGGGCCTGGCTATCTTAACACCGTCCGTGTCGGCAAAAATTCCACGCAACTTCTCGGCGAACTTGTCGGCCGTCTTAGCGCATTCAGCCCTAGGGAACTCGAATACTCGA